TATATACTATATTTATTCCTGGGACTGCAACATGCGCAGGGTTACTCGCCATGCTGGACAGTGAGGTCCGGGGCAGACTCACATGGGTTGTGGCGAAATTTCCCTCTCCCGGTATCTCCCTCAGCGGTAACCCGGAGACAAGTTCATGAGCACCTCAACTTGGTCACCTGATATGTGCAACAGTTGTAGTGGTTTGTTAATGTAAGAGGCAAGGGGAAAGAATTGGACAAGAAAGAGGAAAAGAAAGATCGCGGGCGATCAAAGTAGCCAGTTTGATAGGGTATTGATTCTCCGACATTAAGGATCCGATTTTAATGACCTTTAAAACGTGGCCCAAAATGTCAATAAAATGGCTCTTACAAATGCTCTAAAGAACAAACAAAAGTACGGTAAAAAATGTAATCAAAACACCTTCCGATGAACAACTTAAGCTGTTTGGATATTTACTGATATAATCGGACGACTTTCATCCTCTTATTCATTAATAGTACTCACGACGGCTGACATTCAATATATAAGCGAAAAATATCGAATAGGCAAGTCAGAAATTCTGTGGTGAAACATTGTTTGCTGCTGATAATATTGGTTAGAAACGGAGTACCGTTAAAATGTATTAAAATCAATGAAAAACGCAATTAAAAATGACGTTAAAACTTAAAAAATGACTTATTTACTGAAATCGACGAAAAAGTCATAAAAAACGGATCATTTCGTTTTGTCATAACATAAAAGAATTTCTTATACTAACGGCATTGTTCTAAAGAGAATGTAAAAAAAAAATAACTTTTCAATTAACTCCGCCCGCTATTAATTACAACTAGGTCGAAATCATCTGGAGCAAGAGACAATCGGTTATAATTTATGGTGATTAGATTAGTAAGTATTAGTGTAGCGTAGTAAGATAATTATTTTCAAAAGCATTGGTAAAGCAGTGAATTTGACAACCACTGCTCCAAATAGGAAGGAAAATAATAATTTTATTATATTTCCAGCAATGTTTAGTATTAGAAAGCTGTGAATTGCACTCTTTTTACAAATTATATTAATTCTAATACGCATCTCATTGCTTCAGGTTTCGTTGTGAAACATTATACCGCCACAGCAGTGCCCTCGGTTGGGAGATACCTCGTGAGGAAAACCCCTTCATGCCCGCCGTTCAAGTAAGCGCTAGATCTCACCATCCAGCGGGAAAATATTCACAGCCACCATCCGTGATAGATAGATAGATAGATAGATAGATAGATAGATAGATAGATAGATATGATAGATAGATAGATAGATATGATAGATAAATAGATTTTTTAAAGTTCGCTTTGAGCTAATGCTCGGTGGCTAAACATATAACAAGAAAATTAGAATACTAATTTTTAAACATATTTACAATGGCGTTTACTATTAGAAGTAGGGGGTCGATTATAATAGTTCCAATTTATTTCTACGCTCACTCTAAATTCACTTCGAGTTTACATAACACTTCACTACACTACACATCAACTACACTACACATCACTACACTACCACATCACTACACTACACTGCACTCCCCTTCACTACCTACACCTCCCTTCCCCCACTACTACTAACTTCACATCATACTCACTGCTAATTAAGGGCCAATGACGATAAATAATTATACAATAATATAGATAATAATAAAAGTAATAATAATATTAATAATAGTAGTAGTAATAATAATAATACAATAATATAATAACAATTAATAATAATAATAAATAATAATAATAATAATAATAATAATAATACATAATAATAATTAATAATAATAATAATAATAATAATAAAGATAAACTGTTCGGCTCAGCTATTATTCGAAGATGAATCTAAATGAATGAGTATATTTTTAAATTTGGCTACATTAGAAGGAAAGAGCTCTAGTCTTCTGCCGGTAGTTTTTCCAATTACTTAGTGCGATTCAACAGAGGAGACTTGCCTACATCAGTTCTTTGCTTTCTACATCGTATTTTCCAAAGGATGGCTCCTCTGCTTTTATAATCTGATTCTGTAATCTTTACCGAATATCTGCCCATGCTGTGTCCCCTCTGTATGTCTTATACATTACGCATAAACGCGCCCGTTCCCTTCTTTTTGATAAAGCATGCACTACACTTATGGGACTGACACCTTAGCAGTTTGCACTCCACACTGCACACGAAATAATCAATCAACTGACGAACGCAGTTTGCCAGTGAATTCATGCCTTATCGTCCTTAGCTCTCGAACCCAATACATTTATCAATTTTTAGAAATCAGTCATCATCGGACAAAAGCACACACCAAAAAAGCCAATCTTAGGGTTACCATACGTCCTGTTTTCCCCCGACATGACCCCTTTTTGAAGTAAGATAAACTGTCCAAGAGGATTTTACAAGAAAGTACGAAATGTCCTCTTTTTTTATGGAAAGGGGGCACTACTTTTAAAAATAACCTATATACAGCCGTGTGACGTACAAAGGATGCTGCGCTTTTTTTTCAACTCTTTCTAGTCCCCGACATCATAGTATTTCACTGTTGTATAGATAAATGACATTGAACTTAAACTATCTCGCCTGACAAGTGTCAAAATCCATATATCAAATTCTCGTATATCTACATTTACGTCATTTTCACCATAAAATGTGAAACCAGCTCGTACAACGTAGTGCGTGATGGTGGTGGTTACAGATTCTGTGCGCTGTGGAGCTAATTCTGTTCTGTGGTGTTTATATTCCGAGCAGGATGCCAAAAAGAAAATCCATGTTTCATGACCGTTCAAAGAGTTCGTTGCAAGGAGCAAAGTACAGCAAAGCTTTAGTTGCTGAGGAAGATTTCATCACTCACCAAATACTTCTGGTATAAAGGTGGAAAAGACAGTAATGATAATGAAGAAATTTTGTGACTGTGAAGGTGATGGCAACGATTGAAGCATTTATTTTGTCAATAGTATTTTGCCTTTAAGAAAAATAAATTATTATATTAAAACATTTTATATTAAATGACCTCCGTTTTTTCAAAAAATGCCCTTTTTTCCTGAATAGAAGTATGGTAACCCCAACCAAGCTCCACCAAAGCGTCGCTCACCGTGGCGTCTCCGGACACGTAGAATGGCGGCAGCGGGTCCAAGGGCGCGAGCGCCGTGTATCTGCGATAGCACACCCGCAGCTGGCGCAGCCCAGCGGCCGCCTCCAGCACCAGGTGTCTGCCATCGCGCCAAGCGGTTGCCGGCTTGCCCACGCGGAGCGCGTTCACGCCCTCCGCCACGCCGTCCACGGCCGTCACGCGGCACACGGTCTGCGCGGAGAGCACACATGGCGCCTTACAAACCAGTAGGCCAATGAAGGGGCACGAAGATGATCCATTTTGTGCGAGTGAATGGGATGGGCCAGGGGTTTCAGAAAAAAACAATGATTATAACTTCTAAGGTATATAGGTCGAAGATGATTACTTTGTGCCAATGAGATAGGTATCTTAGAAACAAATGCTATAAAACTTTTAGAGTATGTACGTCGAAGATGAGTACTTTGTGCCAATGTACAATGTTGTACAATGACACATTGTACAACTTTGGACAATGCGGTGGATGAAAAAAGTGTTACAAACTTCTACAACACGTAGGTCGAAGATAATCATGTTGTGCCAATGAATGTGGTGACCCAGGTATCTTAGAACAACTGTTTTAAACTTCTAGAGCATGTAGGTTGAGGTCAAACATCGGCAAAAGGTCATGTTGACCGTCTTACACAGCCTTTTGCCGATGTTTGACGAAAAATTTCGTTTTATGGGCTCTACTATGTTTGGTTGATGATGGGGGCAACTTATCCCCGAAACGTGTAGCAAATCACGTTAAAACCCGAAAAATAAAGAAAGTTGTGAAACAAATTGTCTGTAAAAGTATTTGGGTCTCCTCACATTTAAAACTAAAAATATTCATAAAAGGCTGATTCCAATTTCTCAAGATTCTAGATACATGCCGTATTATGCAAACTCTCATCTGAAATGTCCCGTTTCTACGTAAAAATATATTAATATGTGTAGTAATAGGTAAAATAGGTCAAATAAAATGATTTATAATTCTTTCAGAATGTCTAGTAACTATAAAAATATATTATATCATGAAGGTCTCAGTAAAACTATATGTGTTTTCATGAAGATGTGTTCTGTACATACGAAATAATTTGATGTTGTTTAAATCGTATTTACCGAGGCAACATGGTCGCGACTAGGACTCCCAATCTCCGTCCCTGTACGGGGGAGAGGAGTCGCAACTTAACAACAAACCACGGAAAGAAAACAAAAACTGGACGAAGAGTCTCGCAAGAGACAGGCGTGCCATAAACAAAACCCCTAAGATCACTCACTCACTCACTCGCGGCTAGGAAATGGCAAATAAAAGTATGTTTTTAAAACATCGATATTTTCTAGCAGATTCATCGACATTATAATATCGATGTTTTGCTTTCGACATTTCCTTCAGATTGATATGTTTGTGCAGAAACATCGATGTTTTCAAAAATATCCTCATGATATAAATAACATTTTCAGTATGTATTTTATTTGTGGATTGCTCCCAATCAACAGCCTTTGACAACTGTCAATGTCGTAGATCCCCAACCGTTTGCTATTCGCAACCTTTCTCCAGTGTTGTTACCTTTTTGATTATTTTGTACATATCATTAAACTGCTATTTGAAACTTGGATACTTAGAATATTGATTAGAAAATTAAGATGACAGTGAAATTAGGCAGAACATCCTTTTTATATGTATCATATTAGAACAAGGACATTTTACTTCGAAATAATGTATCATATTTGAATGGGTGTAAACCAGAACTGTACAAGCGACAGTTTATAAATTCTGAGAAAAATGTGTTTATTTTAGGCTATATTTCAGTGGCAATGTATTTTCGGGGTTTTAATGACATGCCTTGGTTTGAATGATGAAACAATGCACCGCGACTCTACAGTGATATTGGCTTAAATAAACAGATTTCTCAGAATTTATAAAATGTCACTTATACCGTTTTGGTTTTCACCCATTTATTAAAAAATCGATGTGTGTCTCTCAGCGACATCGAAAACCTTTCGGTGATATATCGAAGTATCGATTTATCGATGTTTTGATAAACTTTGCCATCCCTAGCCGCGGCACCCGCAGTAGTTTTCCGAGTACGATGCAGTTCAAGCGCGCCTGTCAGCGCCAGCTCAGATTGTGGTTGCCCACACGAGCAGATAAGGGCCACTTGGCACTTCCAGTTGTATCGCTGCGCATGGCTGCATGCGGTTAGCGAGAACACGATTTTTCGACTCCAAGATTTGTAATAAAATAAACATGAGGTGAACAAACATCTGAGTTGTGTTAGGCGCTCTTAACATAGACTGCGGACGCCGTTAGGTCAATGTCCCCTGTTGGAGTGACATTTTATTGGCAATGTTTTGCACATTCTCCTTACGAGCTGTATGTAGTGGCCATTGTATTGGCCATTGTATGACCACATCTGAGCCTCAATTTATTTGTTGGTCCACACCCAAAACCTGACAAAATAAATAAATAAACTAATTTGTATAGTCATCCAGTCGAAATTCCATGGTGCGTCCAGAAATTTCAGATAATTTCGGTGGTTTTGATCACCCTTTGGTGATATTCACAAACAATTAACGAGTGTACACTTAAATTCTGCATTAAAAGGGCGAGAAAAGCGAATGTGGATAGATTTTAAGAAATCTCTTGTATTAAATAACTCTTTGTTTTGAAGCCTGCGAACACAGAATTACATTCAGATCAGAAAAAGGCTGTAGATTTGTATAAACATCAATATTATTCTTTAAATAATTCCAAATAATAATCTGAAAAATACATGACATTTTTAAGACCTTATTTTTTTAAATAGATTTTGTTTAAGATAAACGTTAATTGATTGCAAATTTCGAAAATACATAGAGTTTGCCGGAAATGTGAGTAGTAACCATTTTTACCGTCATTTTATTTATACAGAGAGGTATTTTAATGAAAATCAATGGAGCAAATTTTGAGATAATAATTGTTTACACACGTTTTTAAACTGCCTACATTCCACACAAAATTACACGAAAACTACTCATACTTCCAAAAATTGTAAATGACCTTATTTCAAGATGTCTTTGAAGAACAGATTTCATTCAGGAAAATATCTCTATCTTCAATATTATAGTTTTAGGGAGAACCGAGATACAGGGACGATCTGTGTTTTTACGTCCCACATTCGGCTGATTTCCAATTTTTTTGCATTTAAGAAGTTTCTCTACCTCCTTGATTAAGTTTGTATCCCAAGGCACAGCCACATAAACAAGTAGACACGATTTGTTCTCGAAATCCCGAATAACAATATCCTGTTTGTTTGCCGCTATCGTGCGATCAGTTTGAATTTCTTGGTCGTACAATATTGTACACAGTCCAACAGACGTCACCGATTTTGGTGAGTGTTCGTACCACTTGGAGGATGTTTGGAACTTCGAGGGCAGTACAGATCTGCCAGTGAAGGAAACTACACACCCTTCCGTGTCTTTTCAATTATTTGGTCTTTGCTAGAATTGGAGAAGTTGAGACAATACTATCAATGGTTTCTACATGCTCCCGGCAGAAGCGGCAATCGTCTTGAGAAATTTCGAGAACCGCTTTATCATAATGTCGTGTTCTCAACACCTAATGTTGGAAAGCTATTACAACTGCTTCTGATTATGTTGTTGTTATTATTATTATTATTATTATTATTATTATTATTATTAAATTAACATTAGTTAGCTTTATATTGGGTATTTTACATAAAACTGCGGGAGGAAGTGTTAGAATGCACTTGGAATCTACCTTGACCTAACTTACACACTATTTACTATTACTATAATAAGTAATGATTTAAATATCTATTTTCAATATCTACTATTTACTGTTAATATTAGTCTATTGTTGTGTTCGCGAATAGGTCAACTGGGACCACACGTGCATCCACCCGGCATTATCCGGGGCTCAGAAACATTATCTTCGGGGTAGGTGAATGTAATTTTATGAGGGATCAGCATATAGCTGGATCCGAGTTTTATCCTCCAGGGTTGTTAGGGAAGATGAAATGATGATGATAGTGAGGGGTGAAAGGATGGCACACACATACAAACACAAATACACCCATGCCCAAGCCTGGACTCGAACCCCTCGATTTTCAGGTCCGAAGCCGCTACGACACTACTGCCTGAGCGATTTCGGCCACCTGATTGGCTATTATTATTGTTATTGTTATTATTATTATTATTATTATTATTATTATTATTATTGTTTATATTCGCGTATAGGCCATTACTGACCACGCTACACGATTAACGAGTGTAATTTTTTCATGATCAGCTTTTCAGCTGCATCCCTCTGTAGGACAGATTACTGTACTTATTTCGCCTTGAATTATGAGTTTTAGGATGATGAAGGGTAAAGGGACTATCACAAATGCGATGTCTACGCAGGATTCGAACCTTCAGCCTCCTCGGTGCTGCCTGCGCACGGGGCAGACTTTATTATTATTATTATTATTATTATTATTATTATTATTATTATTATTATTATTATTATTATTATTACCAGAGGCAGGTTGACTGACGTTTCCACGTCAGGGAGGGGTTGCTCTTCCTCTATATGAAGAGCGGCTTCCTGAAGCACAAAATCCAGAAGTCTGGTTATGTTGTGCGAAGATTCAAACCGTTTCCGATTTTCTTCAAGGCGACAGCAGAACTTTCTTTTCTCATTCTCGAGTTTCTTGCGTGACGTGAAATGCTGTTTGACAAAAAAAGAATCAAAATTACATTTTAGCCATAATATATTTGCGGTTTATAAGGTCATTGCATTTTTTAAGGCAATTTAAAAATGTGTTTTAGAGACGAAGCCCCAAGAATGGAAAATGGAACTTCTTGTTCCACACAAGAAACGTCAGTTGATGGCGGGGCGCAGAAGTAAATATTGAGCCCCTTTAAACTTTGACTTTACCCAATCCCTAAGAGACACCTTTTTGTTTTACTTTCTTGATTATATTATTATCTTCAAACATTTTTGTAAATAAAGAGTAAGAAGTTAGCATTTTTATTTTCTAGCCTTCTTCCCAAACAACAATGGCTCTAAATCAAGAAGAAAAAAAAAAGAATGGTGCAACAGAATGGCACAGACTTTCTCGTAGTAGTTCATTTTCTAATTTCTTTAGTCTGGGCTAGATATTCGGTCTTGCCCCATCCTCTTACCAGCTGCCTTCTATCGCCACCCAAATCATATTTTTTTGAAACTTGCTCAATTGTTCGGTTTACTAGTGGCAGAACAGAAATATTACCTTACGAATTTCATAGAAGAGCAAAACCTCGTCCTATATGGATATTTTCGTTGAAAAATTAGAAACAGTTTTTAATAAAATGTTGTTTCAGCGTTACTGTAAAAACGAATTTTAAGCTCTCTTTAGAGTTTTCGAAAAACTTTACTGGAAACTATTTGAAAAACTTCTATTCACAAATGCAATAATGCATAAAAATGGCTGGACATGTACATATTAACAGCGTGAAAGATATTTCAAAAAAAAAAAAAAATTGTGTAATTTTTGAAAAAACAAATCAATACATCCAGGTGGCGTGGAGGTCATGTTGCTAGTCCATTTAGCACTAACCGTTCAAAATGTTGAAAGAAAAAAAATTGGACGCATTTTCAAGAAAATAGCGTTTGAGCTCATTTTCACTGAAAACTGATTTTTCAAGAATCACCCATCAGTTCCATCTGTTTGAAGCACGTGTACTCATAAATACAACACTATATACGAATTGCCATTCATGTAAATATTACGTACGCAAGAGAGATATCAAAACAATTACATGTGTTATTTAAAAAGAAGGAATAGAGCAAAATGGCATTTGCCATCTTATTCAGAACATTTAGCACTATTCCTCCAAAAGGTTAAAGAAAAAAATTGGAGCCGTTTCTCAGATTTTTTTGTATTTTTTACTATTGCGCATATTTCATACGAAATTATGAGAAAACTATGCTATTTTCCAAAAATTGTAGTAGATGACGATAATGAAAGAATTATGACGATTTTTTTAAATTTAGAAAACTAAATATACATGTATGTAAGAAATAAATATATAAAATATACATATTTTCCCAAATTTAATACATTATTTTTGGAAAGAATATATTGCCAGTAAAGAATATTGTATTGCCAAGAAAGAATAATTATATTTGGAAATAAAATATTAATATTAATGTATCAATTTATTTGTTATTAATTATAAGTATCACTTGCTGACAGGAATGTAATAATAGTAACATAGAAGGGAAATACAGATTTATCACTGCCAAGAAAAGTTTGTTGACATTGACAAAACTTATGTATCATTTGCCTACAAAGCCAATGACATTTCATCAACTTATCAATATTGTAGTAACATTACCAAAGGTCCATTAGACAAGACAACTTTAACACTCAAAATTCAATAAACTGAATTAATTTGACTCAATGTGTTGGCAATTAAAATTAACAGGCTATAATTCGTTTTTAAACAATTCTCACCATACAAAACCATGAGAAAGCATTTATAGATGGTTCAGTTTCAGAAAATAATGAATGGATAATTTTTAACTTATTCATGAATTTGATCTGGTTTTGCGACAATAACATATCCTAATTTTCATTTGACATTTTGCGATGCATTGTCAAATGCAACCAGAATGCTAAGATTATAAGCTGAACTGGATTAATATACAAACAACCAAAAAATGTTAAACAATTTCATTCCTTTTCCAGCAGCACTTTGAAACCTTTACAGACAAAAGCTCAGAAACCTTACTAAGTAAACCTTTCTTGGCATTCATTGCGAGGCTAGTGGGGCTAAAACAGCAAATACTTTCTCACCCATACTTTCACGTAAAATTACGCAAAAAGTTATCAGATTTTCGAAAAATGGTACATGAATTTATTTCAAAATCTATCTGTAAGGAACAGATGTGGGGGGGGGGGGAATCTCTATCTTCATAACTGTAGTTGTAGGAAAACGTCGAAAAAAATTTGAATTTTTGGAATTTTCGAAAAATCAGAGTTTTTAACGAAAATGAGACCTGCACCATTTTCTCCACCTCTTAAACGTCCTTCACACTATCCAAAAACAAAATTTAATCAAAAACGATTATGCTTTTTTTAATAATGATAAAAAGGTTCTAGGAGCTTTATGTAAAGTATACCCAAAAATTAAAATATCGGTTTTAAATTCAAGGGATCACAACATCAGCCAGATCGATACGGGAATATCAGTTATGAAGAAAATCGACCGAACGGTATAGCCGCTAGCATTGATCACAGACGGGCGGATATACGGACAGGCACACAGACGCGTTTCCGTCATTCGATTCTTCGGTATCAAGGATTTTAGATACACCACGTGTTAGAGGACCCCCCCCCCCTAATTTAGCAACTGGATTTATCCACTTTTTCTTTATCTGGGTCCTGTAAAAAGTTTTTTCTGCCAAAAAATTGTAGTTTATTGTTTAAGTGGTAGCGAGAAAGTAAAACTTAGTTAACATTGCAACTATAATCTAGTTGAGACAATGAAGTACATTAACTATATACAAAAACACACAGAAGTAAAAAGATCTGATTTAGGAAGGCAAGGCAGATAGATATTCAAAGTATAGTAAGTCAATATTGATTATTGACATTGCATTGTTTTTCTTTAAATTCGAATATATTTAACAGAATTGAATTTTGAAACTCATAAGAAATAATCATGTTGTAATAGCTTATGTCAGTTTCATTTATCATGCTAGTACATTATTCTGCTTTATTTTATGGATTTGTCCTAGAATCACTTACAAATAAAATAGTTATTCCTCTATATTCTATATTCGGAATCTCTAAAACACAAAAAACTGCATGAGACAGAAATGAATTCATGAAAAAAAGTATGTATTAACATGTTTGGACATTTTTATATTTGTCTTTGAGGATATAATATGTGATAACTTATCAAAGTTGAATAGATATGACTTAAACACTATGTTCCATTAAGGCAAAAATAATATTTCTTACGTCGGAAGATACTTGTACCGATTAGTAGTACCTATTAACCATAACTAGCTGATTGATGACAAAAAGTATCAACAAAGCGAAGTAAGCAACACTTGAAAACTAGATAATTATTTCGCTCTCAAGTTATAGATGTCTAGTTTTCATCGGAAAACGAACAACAGGCTTCATTTAAAGTATTGCTACCTACATCCGCGGCTCTTCTGCCTTCTAAAACGATCATAAGTAGAGCTCAACAATACGTGCACTAAAAGAATTCATAAATTGCTCTATTCCTTGTTGTTGTTTTTTTTTTCAATATACTCTCTGACGTGCCCTTAGCAAAGATATATTCATGTCCTTAAGAAAAAATGGGCCATCTTCAGCATTTGCTCAATATATGTCGGGAACTGAACGAAAACCGATCGAGATGGGGTCATTGACCAATTACTTGTTACAGACATATTTTCTCTTTTACTTTCTCGTATACGTACGTATATACGGATATATTTATTATAGAGACAGTTATGTAATGCTACGCGAAAAAAACGGCGGATTTTCCGCAGAAAAAAATTGCCGATGCCTGATAACGAAAAATAAAGAAGTGGATAAATGCAGTTGCTAAATTACGGAAAAAGAAATCCCCTAACACGTGATTTAGCCAGAATCCCTGTTTTGTGGGTCCTTGATACCGAAAAATCAGTTGCCGCCAAAACGTCCGTCGGTCCGTCCGACCCTCTGTGAACACCATTAAACAAAAAAAAATGAATTTTTAAGTAATAGTTTAATTCTATTAAATTCAATGAAAGTAATATTAAATTACATGAATTATCCTATCAAGATAACCCCATTTTAGGCATTTCAGCGCCTAAACCATCCGTTGGGTATGTTTACCGAATTGAAGAAACACCTGCCGATCAGGCTCGAGTCGAAGTTTTGAGATTTTGAATTTGGGGATACTTTACTTTTAAATTTGGGGATACTTCACTTGAAGCCCCCCCCCCTCCGTACATTTTCAAAATTATCTCAAAGACAGCTCCAAAATTGTTCTTTAAATTTCTCGTAAGAAGAGAATAAATTACACTTAGAAAGGTGGCATGTGTCTGATTTTCAGGGTTAAACCTGAAGTTTCGAAAATATTAAGTGTGAATTTTTTCAAGCGCCTTGCTAAAACTACAAAATTGAGATTTTTCTTTCAAGTAAAATTTGTTCTCCATATTTGTTTCTTTCATTAAGGTCATGAAATTTTCTTTCAAATTTAGTAGTTTTCACGCAATATTATGTGCAATATGCGCAATATTAAAAAGTAACAAAAACTAGATTTCCTCGAAAACGGCTCCAATTTTTTTCTTCCAAATTTTGGAAGGGATAAAGCTAAATGTGCACTAAAAGAGTTCATAAATTGCAATATTCCTTTTTTTTTCTTTTAAAAATTACAAAAAAGTAAAGTTTTATACTTGTTTCTCGTGTCGTTAATATTTACTTACATTGTCACATTATATTTATAAGTCACATTATATATATTTATATTTATAAAGCGATTTGTCACATTATATTTATAAGTACATGTGCATTAAGTAATGTCCTATCAAGTTTCTCGAACCCTGTGAAACTTTGTGAAAACGAGCTCGAAATGCCGCATTTTTAGAAACGTTCAAATATCATTTTCTCCAGAACGGCTGTAATTTTTTGTTTTTTCCAAACTTTTCGAACGGATAGTGCTAAGTGTTGTATACTGTTTGAGAAGATAAAATTAGTTTGCTAAAATCTATTGTTTTTTTGTTGTTTTTTCAAAAGGTGCTCTAATGTATTTTTTTAAATATCTCTCACGCCGTTAATATGCACAATTCCAGCGATTTTTAAACATTGTTCCGTATGAGAGGTTAAGTGCTTCAATTGACTTCATATCAAGTTTTTCGAAAACTCAAAAATTTTCTGTGAAAATGAGCTTCAAATTTCGCTTTTACATTATCACTTAAACGCTATTTTCTTAAAAAAGGCTCAAAATGCTTTAATGAAAATTGCCACTTAGGACATGGTTTTACCCTTCTTTAATATTCTTAAAGTAATATTTCGCTTCTACCCGTAGGAAAGCGAAAAATTGAGAAAATTAAAAAAAGAATGTACTTTTGGCGCCGATAGATGGTAGCTGGCAAGAGAATATGGCAAGTTCAAATCGCTAGCCCAGACCAAAGAAAATAGAAAACTAATACGAGAAAATTTGTGCCATTCTGTAGAACTACAAGTTTAAAATTATTCAGTATTAATGTTAAAAAAATCATTAAATGTCATACTTAAAATAAATATTATTTTCCTATCTGATGGCCAGTATAATCACTAACTGTGCAGAAACGGGTATGCAGCAGAAAATATTTTACTTGGCACTTCAACTTCTGTATTAATTTTAATTGTTTATAAATGTTACCTGGCTGTAAAGAAACATTCAAATATTCCATGTGAATTTGCAATTATCTATCGATACTGACACATGGATATGATTCCTACGATGTGTGTGGTACAATATCTTTCATTAGTATTCATATAGTCATTATTAAAAAAAATTGTCTTCTTTTTTATTACTGTAACGGAATGGATTTCTTCTATCCTATTGAAGAAAAACCTATTTATAATAAAATTTGTACTCTGTATTTCGAAAAAGAATGCAGGAATTAAAATCTCTACAGCTTGGATAAATTTAATACCTCCCTTTTTCATACACTTGAATCATGTAGTGTGAATTTTGGAACAATTTAGACCCACAACTCGTAGAACCACTTGTATTAGTAGAGCTATGGTGTATACTTAGAGGGTAATAGTTATAATTGGTGCGACAATGGAGTCAATAAAGATGAAAATGTCTAAGTTGAAGGAACTTAGTGAGGATGTCAAGAAGGTTATTGTGAATTTAACCCTTAGAGGACATTCTTTCAGAAAAATAGAAGTATTGGTGAACAAATTGCATTCCACTATTCAGTATATAGTAAACAAATTTAAGTACAAAGGAGAAACCAAACATTCCAAGACAAACAGTAAGAAAAAGAAGCCCAATGAGAGAGATGTGCAATTAATTGCAAAAGGAATTGAAAGAAAATCCACTTTGAGCACACCACATCTACAGTTTGTAGTTGAGAAGGTGAGTGGAAATACCATAAGCGCCTCTACTATTCGAAAGATATTATACAGACATGTGTGTCAGGGAAGAGTTCCCCCGGAAAAGCCTTATGTTAGCAAGAAAAACAAGGCTGAGAGATTTGGGTCACAAAAGAACACTTTAACAAAAACGAAGAATTCTGGGACAATGTCATCTAGTTGGATGAGACTAAGCAATGTATTTATGAATGCCAAGGAAGATTTACTTGGTAAGGTTTCTGAAAGCTTGTCTGTAAAGGTTTCAAAGTGCTGCTGGAAAAGGAATGAAATTGTTTAACATTTTTTGTTTGTTTGTATATTAATCCAGTTCAGCTTATAATCTTGGCATTCTGGTTGCATTTGACAATGCATCGCAAAATGTCAAATGAAAATAGGATATACAATTGTCGCAAAAACAGACCAAATTCATGAATAAGCTGAAAATTATCCTAACATTATTTTCTGAAACTGAGCTCTCATATATAAATGCATTCACATGATTTTGTATAGTAAGAATATTTTAAAAACTAATTATAGCCTGTTAATTGTAATTGCCAACACATTGAGTCAAATTAATTCAGTTTATTGAATTTTGAGTGTTAAAGTTGTCTTGTCTAATGGATCTTTGGTAATGTTACTACAATATTGATAAATTGATGAAATGTCATTGGCTTTGTAGACAAATGTTACATAAGTTTTGTCAATGTCAACAATCTTTTCTTGGCAGGG